TCGCCTCTGCCGCGCGTGCCGAAGTGCCGAACCCTCGCGTACCGCGCGTGCCGAACGGCCGAACCCTCGCGCACCACGCGGCCGAACCCGCGCTGCTGCTACTGAACCCTCGCCTGTCGCCACTGCCGGGTCGCAGGTTGGGTCCGGGTTGAAATGTCGGGCCCGTTTGCAAAAACGGGTCGGGTTCGGGTAGACCCGTTTAGATCTGGGTCGGGTCGGGTTCGACCCGAACCCGACGGGTTGACCCGAATTGACACCCCTACCTAAAAAATGTCGAAACTCTTTGCACATTCCTAGATTTGAGTGGTTATCATCGATGTTTTGTCTGAAATTTTGCCACTATCAGTGGAACTCTTATAAACTTGCTTTATTGTGATGCTTTCACTTGGATCACTTAGGCACAACAAGTTGTTAGAACTTTAAATAACTAATTTCAAGTCCTTTAGTGTCGCTATTACTAGATTTCTCTAAACCCTTTATTTTAGAGATAGATGCTTTTGGGATCGTCATGGGGGCTTATCCTTTGCCAAAATAAAAATACCAATCGCCTTCTATTGCTAAATAATCAAACAACTGCATGCAACAAGACTTTACATACATGTGAGAGCTATTCAAGTCGTCAAGTGGTGCTAACACTTGGTTAGGTTCCAAATTTATGATTCACACTGGCAAAAAAAGCATTCTTAAGCTAATTTACCAACTTATCCAAACTCCCGACCAACAACATTTAATCAAACTTTTGGAATATGAATTTACAATGTAATATAAGCTGAGCATATCTAATCCAAATGTTTGAAGATGCCACTTTTAAGAACAACAAGCTGAACTCTCAATGATAATCACATGTCTGATCTCTATGGTGCCCCAAACACTCTCTGAAGAGATAATGATCTATCTAGACTTCCTTTAGCTTAAACAAAAATTGAATCAATAGCCGCATAAATATCCTGCATACGCTATCCATGAAGGTTTGATTCAGTTGGAAGTCAAAGTTAACTTGGAAATCCACTATAAGGACCCAATTGCTCAATTTATATCATGTAGGCATTGTTGGTGGTCACGGAGCTATTCATAGAGCTTTACATTGCATTCTTGAAGATTTCTTTTGGTTACACTTGAAACAAGATGTCATCAACTTTGTACAAAGTTATCCAATTTTCCATTTAATTAAGTTTTAACTACTTGCATCTGCCGGCCCCCTCCAACCACTACCAATTCGAGTGGCAGCTTGGGATGTAATTACTATGTATTTCTTAGTGCGACTTAACAAGGCTCAAGGTAATTCCACAAATATGTTTGTTGTGGATCGGCTCACCAAATGCACCTATTTTACTGCATGTAATCAAAGCTCTTGGTAGTCGCCATAGTATCCATCTTCATCTTTGAAAATTGTTGTCATCATAGAATTCCAATGATAATTATGTCCAACCCCCTCTTCATGAGTACTTTCTAGTAAATGTGATTCAAGTTTTTCAAAGAACCTGGCACCAAACTACAACTTAGCATAATGCACTAGCGGAGATGGATGGCTAATTAGAGGGTAACTAATAAGGGTCTTGAACAATATTTAAATTATTGTGGAATGGATAAACCACGAATAATAGCTGTAATTTATTTTGTGGGTTAAATTCTCATACAAACCTCACTACACCCCTCCATTAACATGACCCCATACCAAGCCTTATAGGATCATTCCTTGCCGTCCATACAATCATACTTGGGTCGCATTGTCAAGCCTTTGATGTCATAAATTACATGACAACCTTGCACGGTACAATAACTCATGTAATGTTGTTGAAAGTGCACTTAAAAGTGAGTTTTAACATCAAAGTGAAGCGATGAACTAGGCACATGGCCTGTCTGTAAAGCTAAAGCGCACAACAAAACATTTGTATTGTGCCACTTAACCATGTTCTGTCGTAGTGCTGTGCACTTGGCTCCAACTTAAAATATTATATTGGTTCATATTTCATAATTTCATTCAACATTTATCACAATAATTAAGCACAAATTTTTACTTTTCTTTATTGTATCTGGTAATTATTAAGTCATTTGCTCATTGATTTTATGTTCTCTTTCCGAGAATGTTTCTTTGTGTCTTTTCTTAACTCTTTATCTTGCTTTATGTTGTCTCTGTTTCTCTGTGTCTTCTTGTCCATTTTTTCATCTCTTATTCATTTATATATTTGTATATATATATATATATATCATGAATGCTTTAGTTGTTAAAGCGTTGCTTCGCTTTACACTTTGTGCATGGCATTATGTTTAGTGCTCTGAAAAGGCTGAGCTCATGCAACAATAAATTGATAAAAATGTAGAGGCATTGACCTTCAGATGGGAGATTTATCCTCTGTTAAGTTACATCAATACATACGAACATGCATTAGAAATGAACAATTTTTCAAGCTAAGTCACTTATGTCTTAGAGCATGATCTGATTTTGCACAACTTATGTGATAACCTTGCATAGGCAGGTCGGCACATGTTGTGTTTTAAGAAGTGCTTATGTCTTAGAGCATGATCTGATTTTGCACAACTTATGTGTTAACCTTGCATAGGCAGCTCGGCTCATGTTGTGTTGTAAGAAGTGCTTTTCAAAGTACATTTTAGTAGCAAATCGAGGTGATGCTCTTGCCTTGCACATGGCTTACTTGTGAAGCACATTCTCACAATACAGCGTGTATTTTTCTCTACTTCACCACATCACATCGTAGTATTCCACGTTTGGCTCCAGCTTAAATCAAAATTCTGGTTCAAATTTTATTACTTAGTTCAACATTTGACACAATAATTAAGCACAAATATTCGCTTTTCTGTATTCTTTTTCATAGTCATGGAGTTGTTGCTTATTGGTTCAATGTTCTCTTACCGAGAGTGCATCTTGGCACCTTATTTTAATCTCTATATCATTTCTCGTTGCCTCCACCTCTCGTGCTTGTTGAACCTCACAAACATTCTTAATTTTTCAGCATTATTCCAGCACTTCATTATTTATATATTTAATTTATTTATTCTCCTTTTTACGTTCAGATAGTTACAAATTATTGTTATTGAACACATCATTATATTTATTGAAAATTATTATCTAATACGGTTTAGTTTTTGGCTAATTAAACTACTGTGTGTGTGCACTTACTATATGTGTAAGTGATATACAAATCATGAATGCTTTAGTTTGTAAAGTAACGCTTCTTTATGTTTTGTGCATTGAAGCAAAAATAAATCTTTGCGTATCGCATTGTAGTTAGTGCTTTGAAAATACTGAGCTCGTGAAATAATATAAACTGATAAACACAAGAAACATTGAACTTCAAGTGGGAGAATTAGTGTAAAGTTACAATAGTTCCGATAAACAACCATCCCAAATGAACAATATTCCAAACTAATGGAACTTTTGGCACACGGGAATGAATAGGTCTTGCTGCGTACAGGAAAATTATGACCTCATTCAAGAATCTACTCTTTCATGTATCCTTGATAAAACATTACAGAGAAAACATATCTTTACGTGCAACCCCATTCCCACAAGACACTTTGAACGATCACCCGGTCTTACACCAGTCCACATGCTTCAATCTGGCCATCTATTTTATGATAACAAGACGCATTATCAGCACCTTATATAATAGGATGGCTTGCCACCTGCAAATGCAACATGGATTGTTGATAACAATTTACATGTTGGCCAAACCTCTGCCATGAGGGCAAGGCCATTCCACTCATGATGGTAATGTAGTGAAACTTCATGAACGAACAAGCTGCAGGCTCCATGTCAATGATGCAGATCCAACATGAGTGAAACTTACGAACATGAATGCAAGACTATCACGAAATGAGTGCATCATGACTTAGCTGCTTCTGTAAGTAGGCTGATAGGTGTTCAAATTCGAGTTATTTAAGTTGTTAAGCTTGTTTGTAATAGAATATTCTTGTTATAATTTGGGTAAATCGATGACAGCTGTAATCATTGTGGGTTGTTGGGTAGAAGTGTCTAAAGCCTTTCTTCAAGAAGATTTCAATGAAATATCCTAGACCAACCTTCCGTGGTTTTGTACGTTATTTTTCTATAATCTGCGTTTACTGGTGCTTTTCAGGTTATTGTCTTCTCGCCCCAGCTGTGGGCTTATTTTAATCATCAATTATCCTCTATCAGATTATAACAGTTTATTCAATTTGTTATTTAAAGTTGAAATCAATTCCAGTCTTTTCAAGACCACTCGAAATAAATTATCATTTTATTTGAAATAGTAAATTAATTTCAAGAATAAGACAACTTGCTCAAATTCTATTATGAGTGAGACATTTTAGGATCAAAATAAGCTTATTTTTCACTCTAGAATCTAGCTTGCAAGTGTACTCAGAATGACTTGGTTAATTTCAAAATGACTAATTAGAACAAGCTTTTATCGAGCAAGAAGTCTTTTTTATTCAACAAAAATACGTACAAACTCACGTAGGTGATCAATATTTTAAACATTTTTAGCTAAAGTTGAAGTATACAAATATAATACTTGATATGTTGAATTATTTGCAGCTAGCACTTAATGGCTTTATGAACTTATCATTTAACTATTTAAATAAATTTCAATTTATCATTTTACTAACAATATATTTATATATATTTCTTTTTTTTATTATCTTCTGAGTTTACCATCTGCAATTGGTAATCCACATAATAGATCCTCCATCGGATTCAATGAAATGTTTAGAATTAATAACATGGGTTCTCCTATTATTTTAAACATGCGTCACATTACTGTCCAATGATTTCTATGTTTCCTTTAAAAATGTCCATTTATTTTTGTGGGAGGATGAAAGCCAGGCATATGTTAATGTATGTTGTTTTTGTTTGTCTTTTTTTTAACTTAAGTAGGAAATTTAGCTGTACAGTTTTCTGTTCTCACAAATTCTAAATTTATAAATGCTTGGGTTTTTGCATTAAATTTTTAACTAATAACTTGTTCCATGGCCCTTTTTTGTTCGTTGCATTACTTTAGGACTTCCCGGAGTTTTATTTGTGCTTCCTGATTCTTATGTTGATGCTGAAAACAAGGACTATGGAGGTATTTTCTCAAATATCATTTGTATAATTTTTATATTTGCCTTTCTTATTTCCTTTTTTAAGAGAACTTTAATTACTTTAATTTCTATTCTTCTTACCCTTTTGTGTAGTGTATATTATTTGATTATCATGTCCATCTTGGCAAACTAATGATCCTTTTAGGAATTTCTGTCTATCCCTAAGACTGATATTAGACTTCAGTTTAGGTATCCGTTTGTACTTATTGTAGTATAAGTTGCAGGTCGATAAAAGCAATATAATTGTCGTTTCTTTTGGCAATTATCTTTAGAAGTCTACGATATCATCATTTAATTTGAGCTTGTTTTAGAGGCATTTTGGTCAGCTTCACGTACTGGTGGATATGTCTATTCGCATCTTAGAAAAAAAAATGTTGCAAGTTATATAGGCGAGATGTGTTATTTCATTTGGGTGTATTTTCAAATCCCTTCATCTTGGTCTAGTTGACAAACCCATTAGGTGATGTCTCTCTTTGTATGCTACCGTGATTATGGACAGATTATCTCGTTTGTCATTTTATCTTCCTGTCATGTGTAGTTTCATGTTTTTTGAGAAAGTGAGGAAATGATTAGGATTATTTCATTTGTTGGTAATTTTTAAACCTTTTTTTTACCCTAGCAATATTTATTTCCTTATAAAAAAACCTCTATCTGGTAATAATTTTTGTGGCAGTATCTTGTAATAAATGCTGCGGAAATGTGCTTATAGTTTCTTTAGAAATTCTTGCGATGTAGCTGTCGTTCAACAGTGGAGAGAATCAAAAAATTGATTGGGGGATTTACATACATACCACTTTAATTTATTTAGTGCATCTTTGTCAGGCAGATATGGCATTTTCTAACCGTGCATAACTAAACTTGTAGATTGACATCAGAGTTGTGTCCATCGATTCAATGCTTCTTTGAAAGGAATTACTGAGCGGTGATCATTTAACTGCTTATTAATGGATTATGAATGCTTAAATGTATCCTGCAAAAACAGAAAGTATTCATATACACTAGCATTAAATGATATTATTTAATTAATAAGTTTTGGATGTATGCTTACCGCCAAGCCTCTCTTGATGGTCTAGTCTACCTCGTACATTGGGTTCTTTTAACAAATTACTGCACTCTTTTGAATAGAAAGGTATCTATGGTTTAAGATTTTTGACGTCGAAGTGATGGATGAAAGTTCAATAGATCATTGTGAAACCAATTGAACTATTGAATACCACATCAAGAGTGAGGTGAATTGGTGTTTTAAATTTTTTTTTTCAAAAAATTTTCTATTTGAATTACACAATAATCAATTTCAGATTTATAAAGCCATGGTATTGTGAGATAAATAAGTCAACGTCAAGGTGCTACAGGTAAAGTGCTACAGCGCTGCGAGTCGGACTGAGCATTTGATGAGGACATCGAAGATCAACGGCTACGTTCGCGTCTATTTAATTTGAAATATTTTATGTATTTGATTTGTTATTGTACATTTCCCTTTCTACCCTCACTTGAGGGCTTTTGTCTTTTGTTTGCCTAGGGGCAATTATGTTTTTTTATTTTCCTTCATGTATTTGGCTATTTAAGCCTTCTCCCTCCTCTTGGAGAGTGGAGGATGATTATTGCTAACAAAAATTTTGGTTTTGGATCTCTTTGTGAGTTCTAGAGTTCTCTTTGTGAGTTCTCAAGTGAGGAATGCCTAGGAGAGGCTCAAAGCAATATCCAACAACCCCTTGGTGGAGCTCATGGTTCCTATCTTTTTCTTCTTCTAATTCTTCCCTTCTTCCCTAGCCGCCGGAGTCCCCACCTGCAAGCCACCCAAGCCACCGGCCTCCTCCCCAACCATTTCCCCTCCACCTCAAGAGAAAACATTCAAGCTCTTGGCCGGAAGAACCTGACCCCTGCCCCTTTAGCCGCCGCCCCCCTTGAGTTTCAGCCGCCGACCACTTCCCCACCACCTGCCGGCCATCTTGGCCCCGGCCTCTCGCCATACGCCCACCACCCCTCTCTCCGCTAGCCTTCGAATTTGAAATTTCAAATTCTTTCCAAATTAGGAAATCCAATTTAGGAAAGTTTTAATGATTAAATTCAATTTAAAATTAAATCAAATTGGATTCAATCAATTCTCTTTCCAAGTCATCACCACCTAATTGGAAACTCCTCATTCTCCCCAAATCCCCTCCCTCCTCCTTGATGCTGCCGGCCCTATGATGGGTCCCCATTGATTGCTTAATTAATTCCCTCTTCCATGTTTGAAATTCAAATTGATTTCAAACATTTTTCCCTCTAACTTTTAAAACTGAAATTTATTTCAGTTTTATTCCTAAACCACTCATCCATCTCTCTCATAGGCTATTAATTGCTACCCAATTTTCCTCCTTGATTCCTTTTAAACCGCCGGCCCATTATGGGATGGTTGCTGCTCAGGTTTTCTGAGTTATGAGGTTGCTATCCAGAAAATTTTCAGCCGTATAAGCATCTGACCTGCTGCCCCCAAATCTTGGTTGCTGCCCAACGGCATCTTGAAGAATTCCAGCGAGGGAAACTTGAATTCCGGCCTCCTAAAACCTTCAAACTTCTGGTCGCTCTTCTACAACTTGCTGTCCACTGATTCTACAAATCTCCTAGCACCATAGCTTCATCCGGAAGGTTCCAATTGATGTCCATAATCTGTCCAAATCAGAAACTGCTGCTGTCTTGAAGATCCACATCTTGTCGTGGCTAATCGGTGGTGCGAAGAAGCTCATGGTGGCTGTCCTAGTCGTCCCCAACACTCAAATCATCCTGCAGGAGTGCGTATCTCTCTTGTCTTTGGGTAAACTCAACATCCGATTCCCTATCTTCATAGTTACATCCTTGAATGTGAATTTATTATCTTCATGAAGATCATATTAATGCGTCTCCGCTAAAGCCTAGTAATTAGAAGAGTTGTGTGAGGGATCTTTCATAGACTAACCTTATTGTTAGTATTGTAATCTATTGTTGGAACTATCCATGTATGCAATGTTGGATTAAGCTGGCTATCTTTTGAACTTAACTTCTATGCATGTGAGATAACCTAAGCTAGGTACCACTTTAATATTTAACTTATCGTTCAATTCCGCATAAGATCTTGCTTATTATTGCCTCTACATCTAAATGTGCAAACTTCTTTAAGCATCTCATCTTCCCATGATTGTTCAACATCAGCATTTTTTCTTATTTCACTTGAAGGGTTGCATCCTTTTATGTATTGTAAAGTCTCTATATTTGTTCTAAGAGTAGAACGGTATGAGAAGTAAATAGAGATATTGAGAGAGTGTGTGCAGAGTGATATGCACAATTTCTCTTATTTTCATAATAGATTTATTGGTCTGGTGTGGCTCCGTGATTTCGGATTTTCCTAAGTTAAATCTTGGTGTTCTTTTCATTGTATTTTTTTTTGTTTGTTTTTCATTGCGTGTCATTATATCATTAATGACTTGAGTATAAGCATTATTTTCTCATTTATTTTCTAGAACTCTTTAGAACACTTCTCTTAGAACTTTATCATATGCTTTGTTTAAATCAATAAATATCATATGTAGATCCTCCATACTTCTCCATCAAACTTCTCAACAAATATACATCTTCCATAGTAGACCTACCTGACATGAATCAAAATTAATATTTAGAAACATTAACATCATGTTGTAGCCTATACTCAATTACTCTAGACTCGATCAATCCTCAGTTCATGGATATCACGCAATGGGACTCACCCTTTGCATGTAGAAGTTTGAAATAGTCTCTGAAATCCAATACTCCCCTTCACATCTAGATGACTCACCAATATAGAATTGATTCATGTGACTCATCTTGAAAACTCGCATGGTGTACTCGCCTATGGGGACTTTACTCTGAAACTGAGGAACTTCTCAACAGTTTATTGCCACTTGAATACCCACCAGCCCATGACATGTGTCTTGTATAATTTGTGATCATATCAAAGAATGTATTTTTACTTTTTATTACTTGATGCCTTCTTTTAACCTCTAAGCTTTATAAATAATAGGCAAAGAGACAATTTTTGAATTTTCTTAAAATTTACTGAAATGTTGTACTTCAAGATAGATATTTTGAGCACCCTCTCATTTCTTCTGTCATTTTCAATACTCACAACTCGTAATTCTTATGTTCTTGTCTAGAATATTACTTGTTAGTAGAGTCGGCTATCAATAATGTACATCAACCTCTTACCAACACCGTTGCATTTGTAAGCTAGTTATGATGGCAATTGATAGTTTACTTATTCCCGAATTAACCAATGAATCTTACACTTGCACCGGAAGAAATAACATATGAGTGATGTTCCTGCGTACATCAACCTCTTACCAACGCCTAAATTGTGCGAGTCTTTGGTTATGCTTTTTGAATTTTATTGTGAAAACATATCTTCTATCCAATTCTGATATTTTCCTTGATTGTATTGAATTGTTTATTGTCTCTGCTTTGCTGTTCTTATGAGCCTGTAACTTTTTGATTTACTCGGCACTGCCCCTTTTCTGTTATTAGCTTCTCATTTGATTGGCTTTTACTGGCATACGACTGAATTTAAATACGGTTTTTTTTGTTTGCATCAATGTAAGTTGGTTGAGTCAATGTTTTAAATTGCGTAATCGGGTATTGAGGTATTTTTCGTTTGTGAGACGAGGCATAAGCCTGTTGATAAAAGTATATGCTTATATGTAAGCTAAATTTAAATACAAAAGTTAAAATTAAATATTGAAAATATTTAAATTTAAAATTGTATAAAGTATTATATAAGAATTATGTTTATTTTTAAGTTGCAAAATTATATTATTACCTCACTATTATATTTAGATTTTCTTAAAATAATATTGATATTTATTAAATTATTCAGTTTAAGTCCCATTGAACATATTCTGAATAATTGAATTTTGATTCTCTCATTCTTAAGGTTTTATGTTTGGTTTAATTTTGACAATCTTGAATTGCTTTTTATGGGTGTGCATATTGGTGTAAAATGTGTTTTTTTTGGAGGAAAAATGAGGGTCAATCATGCCAAATTTTCATTAATATAATAAAAGTTTATAATTAAATGATTATAACAAATGTAAGAAAAATAAAAATAACTTACAAATACTATATACAAAACCTAAGTTAGAATGCTTAAATAAAAACAAAGAAAACTAACTAGCAATTAGTTTAAGATAATCCCAAGCAACAGGGAAAAAACAATCATTGCCACCTATAGTAAACAATTTCAAGAAGAGGAACAAAATGATATCAAAACTCCAATATAACCAACGAGAATGACCACAAAATATAGCAACAAACAGCTATACAAGCTCCAATATAGTCAATGAAAATGGACACAAAAAGACAACAACAAATCAATCATGCCATTCAATCATCCAATTCTCTCAAAACAATAATAGATATCCAAGCTCCAATATAGCCAACGAGAATGGCCACATAAGGCAACAATAAACAGGTATCCAAGCACCAATATATCCACCAAGAATGGACTGCAAAAGATGGCAACAAATAGATCATGCCATTTAGCCAATTCCCAATAAAACTTGCACAAGCTCCAATATAGCCACCGAGAATGGATCAATTCCTTGAAGAGGAACATGTAAACCTGAGCAAAGTCAAATAAGATGCTAGTAAATATATATCTAAGCCTGCCATCGAGCAAATGCCCTCAAACCATCATTTAAAGAATAAGAACTGAACAATCGACCAAAGGGCTATAGAAAAGCTACAGGATATATCCAGGATCAATATTTGATTAGCAGGAGAATTAAGAGGGACAAACATAACACCAAAACAGAAAACTTTCTAAGCTAAAAAATAAAGAAAATAACAAGGAAAAAAAAACCCACAACAAAGACTTAAGAAGGTTAAAAATTCATCCAAAGCCTCAGAGCAATGAATAAAAACCCTCAAATTTTAAGAATCGACCATCCAAAGCTAGAGCTGGTTGCCAATCCAACAATTAAGGGTAAAAAATCTCATTAAGTGAAGAATTATTGATTGCTAAAAATGACCATACTAAACAAAAT